ATTCCAAAACGTACAACCATTTTCGCTACAATCCACGTACCTCCTACCTGGGTTGGTAGGGGTCCATGAAGTTTGTAATCGAGCCACTTTGCCACAGAAACAAAAAACACCGGCTTCTCTCCTTGTCCTTGTTGAACTTGAAGAGCTCATTATTTTGTGTACTTCAAAAAACAATAAATTCAAACCATAGACCACATATAAGTGACAAAAAGTATGGTCCCCATAACTAAAATAAAGGAAGCTCAATAATGCAACTATGGTCCCCATAACTAAAATATAGATTCCAAGTATAAAAAAAATAAAAGTAAATGAATATATACAAATTATTGGTTGAAACCTGTAAGTGCATCAATCATCATACTTTTTTTTTTCAACGATAAAGAATTTATAATTAGAACACATAATTATATTTAGAAACCAACTAGTAACAGTTGAATCGAGAATGCATAGTTGAACTAAGGGTTTTATCCTTAGTTACTGTTAAAATACTTCAAGATCTGCTTCACCTCTTGATTTCATTAAACCCCTTGTCAAGTTTTCAGTTGCCCAGTTTAGTTTTTTTCTGGAAAAAGCATTTTGACTTCAAAGGGAGAAACTTTACTGGTTGAGGGTCATGTGTGGGTTTAGCTGTTGTGGCTTGGTTTGATCAGCTGTTGTTGCTTAGTGTTCTAGTAGTTTAGAAAAGTGATCATGGATCCATAGTTATGGTTTATTTTAGTGCAGCTTCAGGTACATCACTACCCTTGTGACAAATAACAAAAACACAATTTTAGAGCAAATAATAGTTATTGTTTTCAGGTGTGGGGGCATAAAACAAACTGAACTACATAAGTTACTCCTACATTAAATGATACACAGTAACTTAATGAAACTAAGATAATGTTCCCAGGTTCTGAAAGTTTTATATTCTAGGATTCATGATGCAATTATGTCGTAGGTAAGAAAACTCGTTGTCCCTTTCTATCACTACTCAAAGAACTCCCAACTGCCCCTTTCTCGATCGGGTTAGATCTCTTCTATTACAATATTTCTTTTTGTGAGTGATGTTTGTTTATCTTCGTTCATATACTTTGTTCTTTTTATTATTAATGAGGTCTTGGGAGGTGAATACCAGAAGAGTAGCCATTTGCTTCTTCTTTTCCTTGGAGAATCCTTAAGTTAATGTTTAGACTTGTCCTAGATTCATTCAAAATGTTCATTGCATTATAATGGTTCCTTCTGAGCTTAGAAAATGACTGAAGAAAATGACACTAACGTGTTCTCTCTCGGTTGACTGAAGGTTTCTAGTATCCTGGAAAGTAGTATTATTCATTCGGCTTCTTAATCGAAACTAGAAAGATCATATCAATTCGTCAGTCACTTTCACATACAGAGTCGGCTTTTTAACCAGACTTTCAATGAATCAAAACTAGAAAGATCATATCAATTCGTCCCTTTCGCATTCGTAGAACCAATCAGTAAGCTCACAGTTACCCTTGTCAATACACAGAACTTGCAAAATTACACAGATTATATATATTGATGAAACCAATTGAACTGGGAAGTTGAAACTTTAGATGATGGACTGCGACAAAATCAAAAAGCTGAAGAGACCCTAAAAA